CTGGGAAGAGGTTAACAACTAGGGCAATCAGGAGGTTAATTGTGTGCCTAGCAAGTGTTAATGTATTTACTGTGTGCTGCTTTGTACTACAGACCAATTTAATTCTATTCCCTACTCAGAAGGGAAAAGAAACAAAGCAATCACTCCCTCTGTATAAAGCTCTGTGTTGTTCAACAACACAGAGCTCTGGGCTGTGATTTGACCCAGCTGATCAGCAGGTCCCAGCCATGAATCATTGGCTGAAATCTGTTAATGAAATCTCGCTGTGTCAAATCACAGGGGAGGAGGCGGACGTGGGCAAACGAGAGCCCAAGCCTGCAGACAGGCAGGGTGACACAAGTACGTCACCATTCCTGTAGCTGTCGCCTTTCCAGGATAGTCAAATAAAATTTACTTTCAAGAGATGTGTGCATTTTTACTTGAATCTTGCAATGCTTTGTATATTTCTTCCAGATCTGTGCAATTATCCAGTGTGAAACCAGAGCAGTGAAGAGCACTGCCATTCTCTCCCCTTGGGCAAGGGCACTGGTCTTGTCTCCACCCCCTCCTGTAGTTTTCTGTAATCAGACTGTAGTGAGAGGTGCCTGCTGGACCCCTCCCACAGCTTTGCTCTAGGCACAGGCTATGTACAACACAGTGTTGATGTCACTGCTATTTTATAAGGTAATATCTGTATTTGCAAAGGCATTTGGTGCTCAAAAAATTGGTGTAAATGTGTGGCTGGTGAGGAATGTATTGAAGTGAAAGTTGTGTGCTCAGAGGTCAGCTTTAATGTCTCAAATGCCAGGACAGAGGGAGATACTGTGTATGGATGCATGCAGTTATAGGGCTACCCACAGAGAAACTGCTGAATAGTTTTGTGATTTTCTGCACACCTGAAGATGACACACCTCACTCACCCAGCACTTACTGACACACCTGGAGGTATTTCAAAGAATGTATTATGCCAAGCACAGTCTAAAAGGAGAGAAAACTAGAACTAGTGCACTTAAACAACCAATAAAACAATAACATTACTGAGAGATATGGTTTAACACCTGCAGTATTCTGACTAACAGTAATTACCAGAACTGAGCTACATTTACCTAGCAAAAGTATATAAAGACAGTCCTAACTTCTTATAACAGTCTCTGTTTTATCCCACTGGCCACTGAATGATGGGGGAAAAAAAATACCGCTGACCGGCAAAGTTGGTGCCAGGGTTAGGTGTTGCCGGGATGTCTCTTTTTCAATCCTGCTCCGACAGACCCTCTTTTCCTTATTTACAGACTCTGTAGTACAGTCTAAACTCATCAGGTATCCAAATTACACTTCATACCCTCCCAAGGAGAAGATCTCCATCTCTTTGCTCCTCTGAGTTCTATCCCGGTTGTGGTCACCTATGATAGGGATCCATCCCACCAGCAGCAGCAGCCCAATCTTTTCCCCACATACAGTTATGCTCAAAAGTTTGCATACCCTTGGAGAAATGGAAATAGTATGTGGCAGGCAAATCACATTTATTTTATTTCTTATGGGATTCATATTTGACTGTAGTTCATAACACAACTCTGCATACCCTTAGTTCTTAATCCTGTGTATTGCCCCCTTTAGCATCTGTAGCGCTACCCCCACAGGGGCAGCTTGATAATGCTTGTCCCCAGGGGTTGCCCTGACCTTGCAAGCCTTCCGACAATTCTGACACCCTAGGTTCAGACATATTTCAACAGTATAGAATACTAACCTCCCTGGCGGTATTCCCAAGTGTAGCTCGGGGTAAAGTTTCAGTACCAAAAGCAGTAACCCCGAGCTACACTCGGGATTACCCTGCAGCGTTACTCAGGGATTCCCTGCAGCACTCACCTTGTCCTGCGCTCCCGCAATGTGTCCCCTGCAGCGTCCTCGGCCATCTCCTCCGGCCGATGCCGGCATCCGTCTTCAGGGTTCCTTCTTTCTGCTTGGAAACTTAGAAAAGTCCATGGCGTCCAAAAAGCGTCCCTTTAGGTCAAAAACAGTTTTAGACCGGCTAGAGAACAGCGATAGTAAATCAGAACCACTTGCAGAGTTGAGTGATAATGATTCGTGGGGAAACTGGTCAGCAGACACTGAAAACGATTTTGCGACTGAGCTCAGTGATGTGCGAACTTGGCGCTTTATTTCAAATTTCAGTGTTTTTGGATTGATTATATTATTGAATTAAATGTAGTATTATTATTATTATATTATTATTTTTATGATTATTTATTATATTATAATTTATGATTTTGTATTTCAAGTTTTATCCTACCCGGGTATGTTTACTAGACTCTTGTTCGGACAGATTTCAGTGAGTTATTCCTAAAAATGACAGGCCTACAATAAAAAAATAACATATTTCCATGCAAAAAAATGTACTGCTTTCAGCACAGAAATATGAACATAATCATACTGCTAGGGAGGTTAATAAAATAGACACAATTCTTGAGTAACACCTCTATAATATTCTTGTTCAAAACAGTAGACCACAAGTATAAAGGGTTTAGGATATACAACTCCAGTTAACGCTAAAAAATAGAGCACTGGTAAAATAGGAATAATTATTTAGCAATGTTTTACAAATTATACAGTCATGAGTAGTAAGCTTCAACTATTAAACTGCACACACCAAAAGTAAGAGGGGGAAGCCTTGTTGACATATCAGCTCCCTCTAGGTCAGTGTTTCTCAACCTTTTTTCAGTCAAGGCACCCTTTAAAATGATGGCAGTTTTGAGGCACCCCATTCTAAAATATGAAAAACTATTCTAATAGTGTTACATAATGCATCAAAATCCACACACGTAAGACACCCAACGTTAGAGGTGATTTATTCTTCCAAATATATACACTTTTGTACACTGGTACTGACTAGTATTCCAATGCTCCTCTTCTCCCTAAGATTTTCTCCATCACTCAGCTAAAGTGACCCCAGTGCTGAGGGAGAGGGGCAGGGGAGGGTCAAACAAGGATGCTGTGCAGATGACCAACATCCTCCTTATCAAGTGATGGTGTCATTGATTTTTGGGATGCCAGAAGCTAGAAGGTCGTAATGGTGCACAATGAAAACCCGTGGCTTTGTGTAACTAAAAGGCAGGCTTGATCCACCTCTGGCTTGTACACGATCTTTGGGAAATTTTTAGGCATTTTGCTAAGGCACCACTGAAGAAAGCTCAAGGTACCCCAGAATGCCTGGGCACCCTGGTTGAAAATGGTTGCTGTAGACCACCAGCAACACTATGGTGAATGAAGAGAATTATGTAAATGTATACTCCAGCATAAATTGATATAAATACCCTAAATTGAATAACAATGGCCTTAGAAGAGAAGAAGTTCCTTTAACTAGAGATTTCAACTTGAGTCTTGTGATGTTTAAAGTTCCTGATATGGTGGTGTCTGTTGTCTTCTGCTAGCAATGGTGGGACCCATAAACAGTATCGATCCAGACCCAGCCAAGATGGCTGCCTCCTGCACTGGAGACACTCCATAGATGAGCATTGCAAAGTGGATGGATGCTACACATCTGCATTATTAATAACCAAACAATAACCCTGTCCACACCTCAGAAGGATAATTCAGCAGCAGCAAAGGAAAATGTTCTGCAGCAGTTATCAGCTACAGTCCAGGTCACACAGTAATCCTGGAGACCAAGCAAAAAAAAATTAAAAGCTGAGACATTTTTTTCTAAATGCATAAACTGCAAAGTGTTGCCTCACTCAGTGCACCTTACATAAAAAAAAACCTGACACAATTCTACCTTGCTCTGTAAAAGCCTTATGCACTCACCAGCCACTTTATTAGTTACACCTGTTCAATTGCTTGGTAACACAAATTTGTAATCAGTCAATCACATGGCAGCAACTCAATGCACTTAGGCATGTAGACGTGGTGAAGACTACTTGCTAAAGTTCAAATCGAGCATCAGAATGGGGAAGAAAGGGGATTTAAGTGACTTTGAACGTGGCATGGTTTTTGATGACAGACAAGCTGGCCTGAGTATTTCAAAAACTGCTGATCTGCTGGAATTTTCACACACAACTATATCTAGGGTTTACACAGAATGATCCGAAAAAATAGAAAATATCCAGTGAGTGGCATTTGTGGGGGACGAAAATGGTTTGTTGATGTCAGTGGTCAGAGGAGAAGGGGAAGACTGGTTACTGCAACATTCAGATGGTAGGGTCAGAATTTGGCATAAACAACATGAAAGCATGGATCCATCCTGCCTTGTATCAATGGTTCAAGCTGGTGATGGGGATGTAATGGTGTTGGGGATATTTTCTTGGCACTAGCAAGGTGTACCTAAAAAAGTGGCCGGTGAGTGTACATGCAGTATAAGACCAATCAATGTGTGTGGTATATACTGTAGGTGGTGTGGAGATGAGTCATTTGATGGCTTACTTTGCATTCCAAGATTTAGTTTTATGTCTGATGGCTCCTTCCCATAGCAGTTCATGTCCTAAGTACATATGGTGGTGGAACATACCTGAAAATATAGAATATAAAATACTGTTCCCAGGAGCGTCTGCCTTATGCTTTAGGGGATGTGGCCAGACAGCCATGGTCTTACATTTATGGTGAACCTGCCCCAAAGTCCTTCGTTACTGGATGAGGATACATACCCTCATGTTCTCGGTCACCATGGTCAACATAAATAAGGATGCTTGTATCGCTTTGTTAAATGAACTGGTTGACAATGTCTCTAAATAAACCTTTTAGTGTCAGTGAAAAATTATATTAAAGTCCAAACAATAATTCCTCCATATTCTGTTTCATCTTCCCCGTGTGTTTTCAAAGAAGCGTATACCTCTAGAGAAAAAGAAAACTAAATAGTGCATTATCCTCAATTAAATATAATCCACCAAAAATATTAAAAAATGTTTTTAAACGTGTAAATAAAGCTCAAATTGTGAACAACACGTGAAAACATTAAACACTCTGTGTACACTCCTATATACACATATGTGAACACTCTGTGTGTACACTCCTATATACACATTGGTGAATACTCTGTGTACACTCTTATATATACCGTATTTTTCGCTCCATAAGACGCACCTGACCATAGGACGCACCTAGGTTTTAGAGGCTGAAAACAGGAAAAAAAAATATTCTGAACTAATGGACTGCAGACATAGTACAGGAGATGACCAGAGTCTGCGGACATAGTACAGGAGATGACCAGAGACTAGACTGCGGACATAGTACAGTAGATGACCAGAGACTGCGGACATAGTACAGGAGATGACCAGAGACTGCGGACACAGTACAGGAGATGACCAGAGACTGCGGACACAGTACAGGAGATGTCCAGAGACTGCGGACACAGTACAGGAGATGACCAGAGACTGCGGACACAGTACAGGGGATGACCAGAGACTGCGGACACAGTACAGGAGATGACCAGAGACTGCGGACACAGTACAGGAGATGACCAGAGACTGCAGACACAGTACAGGAGATGACCAGAGACTGCAGACATAGTACAGGAGATGTCCAGAGACTGCGGACATAGTACAGGAAATGACCAGAGACTGCGGACATGGTACAGGAGATGTCCAGAGACTGCGGACACAGTACAGGAGAGATGACAGCGGACACAGTACAGGGGATGACCAGAGACTGCGGACACAGTACAGGAGATGACCAGAGACTGCGGACACAGTACAGGAGATGACCAGAGACTGCGGACACAGTACAGGAGATGACCAGAGACTGCGGACACAGTACAGGAGATGACCAGAGACTGCGGACACAGTACAGGAGATGACCAGAGACTGCGGACACAGTACAGGAGATGACCAGAGACTGCGGACACAGTACAGGAGATGACCAGAGACTGCGGACACAGTACAGGAGATGACCAGAGACTGCGGACACAGTACAGGAGATGACCAGAGACTGTGGACAGTACAGGAGATGACTGCTGACCTTTGGGGAGGGGGGGAGCGGGTACCTGAATTTGACAGGTATCCGCTTCTTACTTCCGCGGAGTTGTTCTTTGATCTGACAGCCGGGTGCCCAGTGCGCATGAGCGAGAAGCGCTGCGCTTTGTGATTGGTCCGGCCTTACCATTCACAAAGAGCACCGCTTCTTGTGCATGCGCACTTGACACCCGGCTGTCAAGCCCAGCGCCCACACTACAGAAGCCGGGAAGACAGTGCGCCGCTGGATAGAGGAACAGGTAAGGTCCCGCTGCAGAGCTGAGCGGCCGGCCCGGTATTCTGACACAGCGGTGGTGGAAATACCGGACCGGCTGCTCCATATTCGCTCCATAAGACGCACTGACATTTTCCCCCCTTTTTTGGGGGGAAAAAGTGCGTCTTATGGAGCGAAAAATATGCTACATTAGTGAACACTCTATGAACACTTCTATGTGGCTGAATTGTGTACAATTACCCTAAGGTAGGTATAAAAAAGCCTTTAGAGTAATCCCCTGGACTCTCACTCCAGTATAGGTATGGCTCTCAGAATTGGATTCCAGGCTTCAATCAGCTTTCCAGTTCTTCCTACATTCAATTAAGAAATTCATCAATAGGCAAAGGTTTCCCATGTCCCAGCCATGAGCAGCTTCCTGGAATGCCAAAGTGCCGAATACCTTCAACAAAGATGGCCGCTCCACCACTTCTGGTTCCCGTTTAGCGTCCAACGTCACGTCCCTTGACGCGTTTCATCTCTTCCTGACTTATTCACAATGTCCCCAGACACACTCAAACCTTGATTTACATTATGCTCTTGCCAGTGAAAATCGCCATTGCCACAGCTTGAAAAAGTCCAATCATTGATATTGCATTGGTGAAGTGTAAGCTCACTTGGATTACGCTTTGCAAAAAATTGATGAGTGTACTGAGGGACAAACAACCCATATGGGGCTCACTTACCTACAAGTCCTGGAAGGTTGGGACTAATTCCTGGGTTGGTGTGGGATGGTGTGGGCTGGACTCTCATATGGACAGGTTCTTCTCTTCTCTCGCCTCTCTTTTCATTTCTCTCCCGCTCTCCTCTCTTTCCCCCCCCATGCTGGTCCTTCGCCTTTACCCTCAGTCTCCTCTCCCTCCTACCCCTCCCTTTTGAGTCAGGGGGGTCACTACCTTGAGCACTAATGCTCCCTGGCCCTATACCTGAGCACCTATTGTTAATTGCCAACTATGACATTGTATTATGGTGTTATTTTATTTTGTTTATTTCTATGTTTGATGCTGATGATTTCTTGGCCTCCGTGAGCCCCGCCGGGGGAGGATCCAAAGATTATATTGTCTTGGCCTGACCTGAGGGCCTGTGGTCTTTCAAGACTCCGGGTGGTTGGTTCGACCACTAGCTCTACTTTGTCTAATGCAACCACACAGTGGCTATATGTAAGTTGCTGATCAGACATGTACTGCAGAATAATCTTTATTATATACTCATAGAGCTCAAATAATTGCTGCAGCTCTCTGCCCACCTCCGGGTTCACCCCCTGGGGGGATAGAAATATGTATCTGGCTATCCATATGTGTGCCTTTCCTTTTCTGTATGAGTCATAAAATCTTTGTGGATGATACAATCCAAACATCCATGTACTTGTCATGTCTTGTTCCTTCTTTTTGTAAAGAAAAAATAGTAAAAAATAATTGAAACAGAAGATAAAATACTGCAGGTGTAAAGAAGTCAGCGTATAAGTGATTTTTTTTTTTTACATTTATATTTTACTCACAAAAACACCTTTGTTTTTCTTCTACCATTTCAGCACTCAATGAGCACACACACATCTGCTAGTTATTTTCATTTTCAGTTGTACGTACCTTCTATGTATAATCACATCATTCAAAAGAGCGGGAACTGTAACAAGCTAAGTGTGCTTGGCTATACTACATGTTGATTTCCACATATTCCTGGTTGTCATAACAACTGTGTTTAGAGCAGCTCTCCAAACCCAATTTAGCCAAATAAATTGGATCCTGAAATACCAAATAAAATCCGCTCTAGCACTTCAGGCTGACCACTCAGTGTTAATCATGTAGCAATCAAGGAGTCCATGCCTTGGCAGCAAACATCAGAGAAAACTCTGTGGCATTTTTTTTTTAACCACCTTATTTTCTTCTTTTAATGTTTCTACAATGCCACATATGATCGCCAGAAGAAAGAAACTGAAAAGATATATACATTGCAGACTGTCACAGCGTAGATTGCATGACAGCAAGATTACAATATGGTATTCATCTAATACACCACAAAAAGACATGTAATATCAGTGCTGGGTGATGTAATAGGTATCAAACACAGATGTTGGTAATTTGTTAATGTGTATGTTTTTCCCATGTTTTGTGTAGCTTTACTTGGGATGCTCTGATATATTCCTGTAGTCAAAAACCATTGTGGTAAATTTATTGGCTTCCATGTATCTTGGCTCTAAAGCAGGGGTCTCCAAACCAAATGAGGCCCTTCACAAACCCCCCCCAAAAAAAAAACCAAAGTAAAGCATCATTTAATTTTGATTCAGCACATGACAACTTGTAAAATATACAATGTTGTCCTTGTAGTGAAAAGATCATGTCTGCATCCCCTATAGTAGGGACAAAAAATTTTGTATTTATGAACAAGCAGCATTGTTCCCCTAAAGCCGGGAACACACAGATTGAAATTAGTCTGGTTCAGCAGAAACCTGCCAATTTTTGATGTGTGCCTGGACCTTCCTATTCAACAGAAGATGAACTTCTGTCAAACAGTCCTGTTGGTAAACCAGCATTCGATCAACCTCTGCAGCCATTGATCAGTGTATTCTGACAAAGGAGGAGTCCATACTGTTATAATACAACAGCACAGCAGGGGAGATTTCTGCATCCAACACAGTTGTTGAACAAAAAACTAACAATGTGTGGATGGGACCAACTTTCCAGATGCACACAAGGCCTTTACTCTCTCTTTTACCTTCGGTGTACATGCCCACCAATGCCCAGGACCAGGTGGGCCCTAATTCATGTGAAATGTAACATTAAGGCAGCACCCGAACATAGGAGTGATCCATATACTGGTATCATACCCAAAAGCTTTTCTGCACATGCCATACTGTCCCATCATACATGCACCTTTGCTTAGAATAGAACATTTTGAAGGGAATACTGCCAAGCTTGTGTTCCATCCCACCAGTCCATCTTTCCTTTCACCTCACTCTCAGTGATAGAATACAGGCTCCGCTATGTGCCTGTTCAAACCTTCTGCATACACGACTTAACTTGGTTATCTCCTTGTGTTCCTGTGGATAGATCCACGAGGTCTCCGCCACGCGGATGTGGTTCCAGTTAGCCAGAGGGGAACGGTGAACTGCTTCCTTCGCTGTGCAGAGAATCCGTCACCCTTGCTGGTACCATACTCCTGATGTCTGGCTGCCATATCATACCCTTGTGTTGCAACTACATGTCCTCCTTTTCAACACGTGTGTGCGTGATGGGCCCTGTTCCCTCTGTAGTAACTGCTTACCAGACTTGAAACAGTTAACAATTTACTGAAGATTTAGCAACACAGTTCAATAGCACAGCACACATGAAACAAAGTCTAGTCCTAACTAATGCAGACTGCCCAGGCTCATACCTTTCCAGGGAACAAAGTCTATTCAGCAAGAGTCCAATACTGGAGGGTTCCTAGTCCAAGGAGAACCCCATCAGGGTGGCCCAGAAGAGAGTCACGTGCCCCAGTAGGACTACATATTGCAGCAGATCTTCCTCTGTGAATCCCATGTGGAAGAGAGAGAGCTCTGATTCTTCCCCTGTATTTATGTGGTTTACAGCAAGGGGCAGGACCCAGAAACCCCAGGAAAAGAGTCTAGATAGAGTTAACCCCTTCTCATCCTAGGCAGCCTGAAACAGTCTGCATAACTACACGCATTATAAAGCACAGAAATAAATAGAACTTTCACATTTCACGGTTCACATTATAATGATAAGCAACAGAAACTTCACATTATACACTGCAATAACCACAGTACAAAAATCAAGTAAACTTTATTTTTACTACTGGAAGCACCTGCTTACAGATGTGTACCCAATTTAAATATAGGTTTACCTTTAAAAAATAATAAATGCACATATTTTCGGTGTACACGCTCACCAATGCCCAGTACCAGGTGGGCCCAAATTCATGTTACACTCATATTCAGGGTGTAACATGGTGCTTCTGCAGTTGTCCCCGTGAACCCCCCTCCCCCCCAGGTCCTCTCTGTGACATCAGACCAGGGATGTTCTCCCCATGTCTGCTTCCACAACTCAAAAAAGATGCAGTTTTACGTGGCTGCATCCACCCGGCTGCGTCACTCATTCACAGTGTCCTGTGAATGGGAAACTACTAACAGTCTTTGCAGCTGTCCAGTGAACCACCATAGTGCTGTTGAGTGCTGTGGTAGTCCATTTGGGCTTCCTGTCAGTGTGTAATCCACTGCTTGTACGAGGTACGAGTCCACAAGAGCCCTGATCGTGGGTGCAATGCTTTACAGATTCCCAATTTAACAGAAACATGTTTTTACCTGCAAAAATATGTGCATTATTATTTTTTTTTTTTAAATGTGAACTTATCCTTTAAGACACCTTTAAGTACAGAACACCTCCCACTCCTCTTATCTCCATAACCTGTTTGAGGGCTTCTATATTCAGCAGAGAGAACTGGAAACAATGCTAACTGAAAACACGCAGCACAGGCAGAGAACATAGGAAGTTACCAGCTCAAAGGATTTCTAAACTAAGAAAAAAATGAGAGCAATTAAGAAAAGTGTATTGCTGTGGTTTACACACGCTTTTAAGCTATCTTCTTTCTGTTAGATCTTGAATTTACAGCTTGAAACTCAATCAAAATATCTCATGTGCCTAGGACTGTTCCCTGCCTGGTAAAAATTGAGTTTGTTTCCAAAAACATTTCTAAGAAAGAGCTAATACATCCCAAATGTTTGTTTTAATAAAGGTGTCAACCTTATTGGTGTCCTGACTGCCTTCAAACAGCAAAAGTAGAAGCCCAGGGCTCTATTAGCTTTCTAGAATAGTATATCTAAATATTCAGAGGTACCATTGGCTCAAGAACTATCCAAACCACTTTCTTCCTTCTATTCA